TAGTGTAGAGTAGTAGTAGTAGTAGTAGTAGAAGTAGTAGTAGTAGTAACAGTAATAGTAGTAGTAGTAGTAGTAGTAGTAATAGTAGTATAGTAGTAGTAGTGGTAGTAGAAGTAGTAATAGTAGTAAAAGTAGTAGTAATAGTAGTAAAAGTAGTAGTAATAGTAGTAGTAGTAGTAGTAGTAGTAGAAGTAGTAATAGTAGTAGAAGTAGTAGTTATAGTGGTGGTAGTAGTAGTATTATTATTATTAGTAGTAGTAGTAGTAGTATAACAAAATTTTAACAATAGTTTTCGAAATGTTGAAATCATGCGCCAACCCAGAAGCTCCATTTTTGTCAATCTAGAGACAGATGGATTTCAAGCCCAATCTCGCCTTTTCGAGTCCTTGCGACCAGATATCGCATTGCTACGAGACAGGACGATTGAAATCCCGAAATTAACAGTCCGTCACGAGACTATCTTATTTAATTTTAAAAAATAAAAACTATCTAAATACTCTTGTAGCTTGCAAAAAACTTTATTGACGATTTTAAACATTTACAAACAAAAAAATGAACTCATTAGAAAAGAATAAAATAATTGTTTGAATTATTTTTCTTTTATTTGAAACTTTTACATTTCAAAAATCTTTCCCCTAAATCAAAATCTTTGTAACTTTTTGAAGAAAATTTATCTGAAATGAAAAAAATCATAAAGACGTATCGTAGCACGGTGAAAAATTCGCCTATTGTCGTTGCATGTTATTATATTTTTGCAAAATTAAATGAATTTTTTGGTGTGCGTATATAAATTTATTGATATGTGATTTGACTGCTAGGAAATTTAACTATTTAAAAAATTGTTTTTTGATTAGAAAAATTGTAAAAATTTAATTAAAAACGTTATAGAATCATCTTTCTCCTTATCGTCCTAATCTGGATAGCATTGAAAATTCAAAATGCATCATTCATCAATCACATTCACACTGTTCTTTATTTGCTCATTTTCCTGTCTGACCGCAGAAAAAAAATTCACATTTCAGTAAGGGCATTTCTGTATCTTTATATCTGTTGGTTTATCTTCGTATGACGCGAGCCACATGGTGAATGGCGTAAGTCACGTGACGTATGATATATATATATATATATATATATATATCACGTGACGTATGACGTAGACAAACTTGAATGATGTTCACGACGCACGTGACCACGCATGGCAATTATGCGGTCCACATTCTGGAGTATTGTAGATGTCAAACAATGGAGCCGACCGGGTTGCACATTCCAATACGTTATTTCATTCGTCACGTGATCACATTTGTCAAACAAAATCATGTCAATGGTGATGATGAGGATTATTGCAAAGATGATTATTATTATGAAGATGTTGTTAATGATGGAAAGGTAGAAAAATATGATAATTTGAAAGCGGATGGGGAAAGAATGGATTCGAAAAATGAGGATGATGAAGATGGAGATTAACATATTAATTGATTGCATCAGACAGAGTAGATGCATAGAGGAAAAAATGATTAATTTAATATTGAGAATAAATCAGCGATGACCGTGCAGTCATCACTGGAATAGAAACCAGACAGCCAGGATGAGGAAATGAAAGCGACGATGAGGGAAGCAACTGTCGGGTGATTTTGGTGCGGTTGATGCAATTAGACCTGATGAATGGCAATTAAAGAGCATTAAAAAAGGGTAATTATCGTCTGTTAGTTAGTGCACCGCGCCTAATTAAGATGGATTCTTTAACGAGTTTATCTCCGTTTTATATGCAACGCAATTTTTCAATTTATAACTTTATATTTATGAAATTGATACACGTTTTTATACATAAAGTTAAATGTTTTAGGATTAGGATAGATATGGATATGTATGTGTGCGTGCGTGCGTGCATGTGTGTGCATGTTGGGATATATGTGTTTTAAACCTCAAAGCCAGGCAAACAGTGTGAATGTGAGTAAAAAATACACAACCCAAAATAACACTTCAGAAAGCCACTCCCAACTGGTTGAGCCATGGAACAAATGATATCGAATTAAATCAAATAAATTATGGGTTACATAAAGTAATTTAACTCATCTATAAAATCTATGTTTCAGACAATCAATTTGCTAATTTCAAACACCTATGAAGATTAATTATTGAAATCAAATTCGCTATTCATGTGTCTACTTTTATGTTATTTGTCTACTCGAATACATTTTTAATCTGCACGTATCAATCAATCATCATTCCTCACATAAGCATCTTCCTCACATAAGCATTCACCACAAAAAGTTGAAACCTGAAGTTACTGCAGGGATGGATGATCCAACTTCCAGCTTCCTTCTGTCTCTGCTTTTCCTTCATCAGGGCAGTCCTGTTGCCGAACAGCTTCATGGCCAGTTTGTTGTCTGAAACTTGGAAGAACGACGAGATGTGATCTCTCAGAGTGTAAGGGGCAAATTGCTGAGGGGCCATGTGTGGCAGGTGTGGAGTTTGAGGGGGCGAGTGTTGAGGTGCTTGGTGGTAGTGGTAGTTGTAGTATGGTTGGCTGGGAACTTGCTGGAATCGATAGTCGAACGATGACATTTTTTTTTAAATTTTCTCTCCAACTAATGAAGGCAACTTTAAGACAGTTTGATGAAAGGCTATTCAACACACTATATCATTTTGTATTGTAATTTATTATCGTTAATTTATAACGTTAAACATTCGAATATTTCAATTATTTCGTTATATTAACGATAATTTCAAATGGTTGACATTTTGTTTTCAATAATATTTTCTACCGATGATAGATGGAATCATTTTAGTGTTTCACCCTGGTTACTGCAACTTTAAAAATGTTCTGCCCTGGTAATCCGCAACAACATACAGCGCGCGCCTCTGCTCCTATATGCTTCTTTTATATTAAACAGATGTGCATGCATTCACATAAACCTAAATTTACAGCATTTATCTAACAATCTACATTCATTTATTAAAGAAGTAGTTCTTTCATCTTTTCATCTACTCCTCCTTCCATCAATCTATCTGTTTATCCATCTATCTATCCATAAATTCATCCATCTATCCATCAACCCATCCATCCATCAATCTGCGTGATGTTACCAGATGAAATTAAATTAATAAACCCGATTAAAAGTCCGAGCCAGTGTTGAGATCGTTTCGAAAATTTTCTTCAAAAGAAGAAAACACACGTGCTTCAAAGAAGTCGAGAGAGATAAAAAGGAGGAGTGGGAGGAAAAAAAGATGAAGGAGAAAAAAGTGAGGGTACGCAAGTGTTGAAGTTCAAACGATTATAATTTCAAACAGAACTGCAGGTTTGTATGTTTGTTTTGGATTGGAGTACTTAACATAAATGAATGAATACTCGCTTGAAGATGAATGGTAATGTTGGCGTGTGTGTGTGTATGTGTGTGTGTGTGTGCGTGTGTGTGTGTTTCCATCCTTCGTCCTGTCATCGTGTGAATGTCCTGTTGTTGTTGTTGTTGGCCCAGGTTGAAACGTTCACATCTTGTTTTAGTATTTGCATCGAAAGTGACATGTGACAAGTGTCAACGAGTAGAAAATTAATTGGTTAGAAGAATTTGAAACTGACTCATTTTAAAATGTTTCAAACAAACTTCGTTCACTTATTTAAAAGTTTGAAATTAAAATTTCAATTCAATTGTATGCGTCGTTGTCATCACCAAAACTAAAACTTGTGACGTAGATTGAAACTAATGTAAAATTCTTTTTTTTTATTTTATTAGAAATAAGAATATTTAGCTTTTCCATTTATAAAAAAATTAACTCAATACAAAAACTTTATTTACTTTCAAAATTACAAAATAATCATCAGTGTCAGGCATCAGAAAGCACAACCAACTTCATACTCGCTATCAAGCACACAACACACTCGCCAACACACTGTGCATTAAACACTATATAAATGACTCCTAAACATGCAATTCATATCATACAAGCCTGTTGCAAATATTTCCATACTACGTATGATTATGATCCTGTTAAATCAATGGATCATTATATACTGCAAACGATATTTTTATATGTGAATATATTCCATCTATTTGTTTTTATATGTGAATTTATTCCATCTATTTGTTTATTTTATTCTTATTTGTTCATTAATTTACTCACTTAATTTTTTCCAATAATTTTTTTATGCTTATGTTGGTTCATTCATATGTTTCTGTATTTGTTTATTCGTGTTTTTATGTTTATATACATGTTCGTTTATTTGCATATTTGTTTTAGAAAACATAGCAATGCTTTCGACATTTCGTACAATACGTACTTTATTGACAGCTGCATCAATCATTCCACTCATCCATCCATCCACACACACACACATACACACACACACAGATATATATTTATTTATATTATAAAGAAATTTATATCAGTGTGTGTGTGTTTGTGTGTGTGTGTGTTGTGTATGTGTGTGTTTGTGAATTTATGTGTTTGTGGGTGGGTGTGTGTGTTGAATATGCATCAATGAATGCCCTAATATGAATTTCAACCATACAATGCAATCTGCAATGGAGTAGCAGACAGACATGTCACAGTTTACTAAGTTTGATCAATTTTACGTCATTCAACTGAACAATGAAACAAACCTGCCAATCCTCAAACTCAAATATAGCGAGGAGAACATATCTTGTCTGCGAAAATAATTCGTCTAGGTAAAAAAATTGGTTAGTTTATTTATTTTCTCTTAGTTCTATTTCGATTTTTGATAAAGAGAGAGAGAGAGTGAGTGAGAGAGAGAGGCAGTTTGACTGCTACTATTATTATATACTAATACAGATCATTTATTAAGCGCCAATTAATTATGTATTCCATATCAACGAGTTAAACAACTATAACAAAAGTGGTACCCTAAAAAATAGAAATAAAAAGCTAAACTTGAAACCAAACAAAGCTGAAAATGCTGTGATGTTTCTCAATAATTGTTTTCAAACCGCAAACTCAATTCTTCTGATTTATATATATATATATATATATATATATATATATATATTATTTTTACAATATTCTATAAATTCTACCGAATGTTTGGCGTAACTTCTAATTCTCGAGAGAGATGGAGCAGTCGCTGCTCGCGATCTTGTTCGATTATTAGATTACGTCGGTTGGTCGCAGAACTTCGAGTAAATGTTGGTAATAGACCATAATTTTTACAATATTCTATAAATTCTACCGAATGTTTGGCGTCAATATTCTATAAATTCTACCGAATGTTTGGCGTCAATATTCTATAAATTCTACCGAATGTTTGACATATATATATATATATATATATGTCTAATATATATATATATATATGTATAATATATATATATATATATATGTCTAATATATATGTATATTTCTAATATATATGTATATTGCAGTGCTAGGAACAAAATTGTTCGCATCGTCCTATATGCAAGAACGTTTGCATTACCTCAGATATGCATTTTTGTTGATTAAAAAATCGGCCGCATACTCCAATGAATTTTTATTTCGCCAAAAGTGTTTGTGAAGCATTTTCCGGGGCACAGCGGTTAAACTTTTACAAAAATTTTGCAAAAATTTGTTCAAATGATTCTCATAATTTCCACATCATCTGATTCCTCAAGAGTTGTGTTGATTATTTTCAATTTTTCGAAGCGCACAAAAGCATTTGTCACACTGCTGATGCTTGTTCCATGTTTGGACGCTCTTCCAGATTAATTTTCAAACATTTTTTAAAAACATTTAGAGTTTGTCTGAAATAGTATTAATATTTGCATAACAAAATTTTTGATAGTTATGTTTCAACTATATCATCATTCTTTCACATGCGTAACGAATGAAGTTGATATTTCCAATTAATTATATTTGATGCTGGTAATGGCAAAAACTTATTTTAAAAATGTTTAAAGAGAATCCAATCAATCGATTGAAGAAACGTTAAACAACGAGGATAAAAGCAACCGACTGCAATGCAGTGATGCCATTCTATTTTTTTTTAACTCATAAATTGTTCTCAGCATCACAGACTGTCCTTGTTCTTATGCTTATGTTTCTTCTTCATAGTGGCCACCAATTAATTTCTAACTTCTTTGAAGTTTGTTGTTGATTATCTTCAATTTCGCTGGCTATTTATATTTCCATGCATAAATGTCTTTGTGTTTTCGTTTTCTGGTTTAAAGATATTTGTTGAGATGTTGTTATTCACCTACCTTTCAAGTATTTCTTTGTTCTTTTGAAAAGCGAATATAAAAAATTTATTTAAATACTCAGGTAAATTAATATAAATTATGATATTCTTGTAGAATCAGGTCAAACCATTTTTAAAAACTTCCATTAACATTTTAATTGAAATATTATAACGATTTATATCGCAGTTGTTAATATAAAACAACAATGAAATATCAATAAAGACCGCTTATGTATCATATTATAGATAAATGTGTGGGTGTAGGTTTAGATGTTCCTGTGTACGTGTGGTGTGGTGTGGTGTGTGTGTGTGGTTTATGTGTGCGGTGTGGTGCGTGTGATGTGGCGTGTGTGTGGCGTGTGGTGTATGCGCGCGCGTGTACTTGAAAAACTGGCGTCGTTTTTGGTTCAGCCGACGAAATTGATGCTGGTTGTTCGAGAATGTGTTGTTGATGGGTTGACATCCATCTCACAACTGGAGCCCTCCCTACCTGCTCTGCACATTCATTATTTCTCGTTAACATCTGTTCGTCTGAACTGTTGATTAATTTTAACAACATATACCGAACACTTATATAACCAATAACCATTCCAATATATTTCTTAAGTTGATTGAATGAAAAGAGAGTAGTTGATGAATATAAATTTGTCTGAATTAATTTCGCTTCAAATTTGTTTTTTATATTTTCACATAGTACAGGTTTAGGTGCTAATTTTACATGTTACGGTTATACATTACAGTTACATGTTTCAATTTTATTACACGTTACGTTATTCCACTCCAACTGCAGCACTAATTACAAAGGGGAAATAACATCCACCACACAACACACGCTAACATGAGCCGAGCAGAGCACTGCGAGTTGAATCCACAACTTAAAAGATTTACACTGCCTGAATTCATCGAGTAATAAAATCTTCGGCTGACAAATTGAAACTAGACTCAAGGATGACGATGACGATGTTTGGCATGGATACAACCACCCCTACTGATGATTAAGATGATGACGACAATCGTAATGATTATGACGACAATCAAAATTCCGAAAATTATGACGTAGATGGTAATGGAGGTGGCAAACGTAGAGGAACTGTAATAACGATGATGACGTTGAACATAGTAACAGCCAACAGTGACGTCACTAGCATGGATGAAATCTGCAATGATAAACATTTCAATATTTGCAAACTCGACGCATCTTACGATAAATTTTATCATCCCATTCATCTACTTGCTGCTGTTATTATCGTTGTACAAATGTTTCGATGGCGGAATAATAATGTTGTAGAGTACGTAGTAGTACCGCGCAGGCGTGTTGTAAGGTTGGCTGGCTGGCACTGCTGCAATATTAACGATGTTTGCAGTTCGGGTATTTGAATTTTCGAATTTACGGCTGCTCATTATTTTTTTACTATTTATATCGTTATTATTATTATTGTTATTATTAATTTTATTATTATTCTCATTGTTGGCTGCCATAACTCTTAAATAACGTCTTATATAACAATCATTTTCAGTATAATTTATATCTCCTTTTCTAGTTAGTTAAGTTCTGATAGCATAAATTAACTACAATAATTATTGTGTTATTTTCATTATTTTATTATTAATTTTCGGCCCTTAGTTATAACAGTTGTGATTGTAGAAAGCTTTTCCTAATTCCTTTTAGTCGGGCCAGCATGGTTTGCCTGCCTGACAGCGGCCACATTGTTGCGCTGATGATGCTGCTCAGTCTTCGACGAAGTGAGCTAGCTTGCAATCTGTCTGTGAGCGTTTCAATCGATTTATCGTTTTAATTTTCATTTGTGTGGATTGACATCTTATGCTATTAGTAGTTGAGAAAATGAGTTGTTGAAATAGAGAGAGAGAGAGTGAGAAAGAGAGAGAGAAAGAGAGAGAGTAAGAGTGGGAGAGAGAGAGAGAGAGAGAAAGAAGGAGAGAGAGAAGTAATGTAAAAACGGTTGCCATTAAAATGTTAGGTTATAATAGCTTATACCAGGAAAATTACATATAAAAAATGAAGACTAGATTCATTGACATGGAAAAAATGATACAAAATGATGAATAAAATGCATAACATGATGAAGGTATGAAGATGAAGATGAAGTTAAGGATGAAGACGGAATCAATAAATTCATACTGCAACAGTTTTTAGGGTAGCAGCAAGATGTGAAACATCATCAATGAACATGAACAAGTTCGATTAGCTTCGTTGTTACAATATCACATTAATTAATGTACGAATTAATACCATATTCGTACCTACCACCTGAATTGAAGAAATTTAGACTTAGCCTTCCTCATCATCAACGCCGCCTAGATCCGCTATTAAAAACAGCAGCATTCAGTGCTAATCAAATACCGCTAATATAATCGTTATGCAAACCATATAATGACTTATGTATGTGATCGTGATGTAAATATGCATTGCTGCGGTTAACTAGGTAATTGAACATTTCATTAAAAATTATTCCTTAATATTAGTTTTCTATATTTCAAACTTTCAAAAGATCCCGATTACGCCAGCCCATTATTAAATTATTGAGTTAAAAAAAACCACGCGTTTAAAATGACAATTACATAATTTTGGTGAATTTATTTTTAAATATTTTACGAACAAAATGTTTATTAAAAATAAATTATTTTTGTTATTTTATTTTATAAACATTTTACGCTTAGTAGGTACGTAATCAAAAAAGAATTTTCAAATTTAAAGAACTAATTTAATTAAAATTTTTGAGTGAGTACAGAAAGGTTAAAAAACGGTAAATCGAGAAAAGAGAATGAAAAGAGATGAGAGAGAGAGGGAGAGAGAAAGAGAGAGAGAGGGAGAGAGAAGGAGGGGAAAGAGAAGGTATTTTGGCTGGAATTCAATTAATTAATGTCAATGGACATGAATGTTTGATAAGATGAGACTTATCAATCTAAAGATTTTTATAGGCTAGTAGAATTTATTCAATCAAAAATAGCTTTCTCTTTTTGTCTATAAAATACAAATTCGGAGCATCATTCATCTAGTTATTATTTATTTCGTCAATATAATCATTTATTTTAGGTAATATAAATAAATTAATTTACTAAATTACAATTCCATTCCACATGAATGCTTCAATTTTTACACAATTTTACATCTCGTTTTTATCGCAGCTCTCCCCAGTGAACAATAAAAAATGGGACCTATATAGGTCACAGGTGGGCTGACATATAGGCCTCATATGGGCTGCCCACGTGGGACCGGTAACAAAATGACCGCCCAATTCGCGTGGGACCCATGTGGGAAAATAAGAGAATGTAAAAAGGGCTTTACATGGGCTAAATAAGAGAATGTAAACGGGCTTTACGTGGGCTAAATGGGCTTAAAAGTATGCACACACACGCACACATGTTGCATTTTTTGAAGTATATTTTATTTTGATAAAACTTCCACAACAAAAAATACTAAATGTTCAATGTTCAAAAAAATAATTAAATGAGAAAGTCAGGTTATAAATACTAAAAATAAAATGTTATAGTATAAAAAATTTCATTTATGCACAATTATCATTTTCATCTTCTTCATCTGATGCCTCATCTGAAAAATTTCCTTCATTTGTTCTTACAGATGAATTTGATTTGTTCAACCGAAATGCCTTTTTACCATCTGTCTTGAGCACCAGTCAACCATTTTGCCACTGCTAACTCCACATTTCTTTTCATGACCTCTCCAATTGAAGCATTTTTTGACTAATCCTGTTATAAGAATAAAAAAATTATTTTACAAAAATTATTAACATAAATTTATTCCGAAAAGATGTAAGGCTGAGTTGGCCAGGAGTCAGCTATCCGAGATGAACCTGCAGTAGTTATGATAAACATGGAGTACTCCATATGTTTATTGTAGCTACTGCAGGTTCATCTCCAGGTTCATGTTCTCCAAAGCTGAGTCCCTTGGTAGACTCTACCACGGGATTCAGCCTTGGAGAAATGTGGGGATTACAATGGCTGGAACCGGGCAAGACAAAAAAATAACTTTAATAAAAAAAGATTAATGAATACTAAGGAAAAAAATATTAAAATTGAAGTAAAACGAATTGAAGAAAATGGTTTTTAAATTATACTTACTGTATACAATCTCGAATAATTTTGAACTTCCAAATGGCATTTTCCCTTTTTTCCCAACCATGTTGAATCCAAAGGCTACATCATTTTTCATTATGTGAGACATCACTCTTCTTATTACTTCATCCAAACTCAGAAAAAATTTTCAATAATGCATTTTGTGCTCTTTGGCTAATTTTATATTGTACAGCCCATGTAGCTAGATGCTCTTTGAAAGTTCTTAGGTTGCTAGATGATGAAGTGCTGGTTGATAAGCTTGAAATTTCTGTATTATTAGAACTTTCACTATATTATACATAAACAAACTGGAACTTTCATCATTAGCACCATCAGAATCTTGAAATTTTAATATTTTTGATGGCAGACTAAAAGATTCTTCTAGCTGATCGTTGTACCTTTCATAATTTTCATTAGCATCAATATTATTGATGTTCCTAGTAGTGCAATCTTGCTCATTATTTTGATCAACTAATGATGCTACATTTGTTTCTTCCATAGGAATTTTATTAAAAAAATCTTCCACCTTCCTCTTTATGTGTCTTGTCTAGATAAAGTACGCTTGTTATAATCATTCGAAGAATCCATTTTTTATTTATTCTTTTGTCTAAGTTATGATACTATAAAATAAAATAAATTAAAATATTATTTATACAATAAATTAAAATATTAACAAAGTTGAAACTATGTTATAATCATTCAAAGAATCTATTTTTTATTTATTCTTTTGTCTAAGTTATGATACTATAAAATAAATTAAAATATTATACAATAAATTAAAATATTAACAAAGTTATGTTAACACAACAAAGAACAAATCAAAGGGGCATTCAGATCACAAAAAAATTATTTAATTTATTAAATCATTACCTTTCTATCAGTATTCAGCACGCCAAGACAGTTGAAAAAAATTGAATAAAATAACTGATAAATTATATAATTATAATTTCTTAATACTGATATATCAACTTTAACGCGATGAAAAGGAACAAAGGAACACGATCAAAATTTCCGAGTTAGTATTGAAAAGTAAACATAAAGCGTGGCAAAATTAAGCGATGTCCTAAAATTTAAAAGAAATAAAACAGCAGTCATAAAAATAGACCCAATTAAGTTGATAAAAACATAAGTATAAAACATTTCATAGTATACCATAACATACAAAAAACATTTAGCTTTGAATCATCACATATTTTAATTTTTGACTACTAGCCCAGATAGCCCATAAGGGACCCATGGTTGTCCAATATAATTTTTAGAAACCTTGTCCATTTTATTAATTATTGAAAAAAAGCATTATATTTAGAATTTTTATTCAAAATGTTCATTAAATATTACAATGGAATAATAAAATGTCACAAAATTTTGAATTTTATATAGTTGCGAAAGCCTACACAACCCTTATTGAGCCTTTGTGGAGCACATACACATAAAACCCGCATTGGGCCCACAAAACACCCATGTGGGTAATCATTTGCCCATGAAGCCCATATTGGACCAATAATCTCATGTTCACAGGGTCATTACCGCCTTCACAATCAACATTACATTAGAAATTACCTAGCGCATAAAACGCTTGCTCGGGTACTTCACAAATGACTTTATATAATCATCGTCGTCGTCATCACCATCGTCATCACGATAACCAATATATTTTGAATTTATGATGTTTTGATACTTTCTATCACTATATATCATTTTTTAAAGTTTGTAAGTTTTCTTTACTTTTTATTTTAAATATTCTAAAACATTTAAAAAACTGCAAGCTCGTTGGCCTAATTTCAAAGCCTTTGTTGATACTGATACTGATTGAACATTTACCATAAGGAAAAAAGGAAAAAAATTCTTTGGAATACAATAATAATATTTGTTAACTTTTTCATAAAAGTGGATTAAATATTTGTTTGAGTTTCTGGTTGTGTATTTTGAATGTTTTATCAAAGCAAAGATAGAAAAACATCGAAGAAGCATGTTCAAAACGTGAAGTGTGTGTTTAATCAATCAAACCCGTCAGCTCTTCGCATGCCCATAAAATATTGACTCCTCTTCTCTGTCTGCTAAACTATTTTTAAAAAAGTATTTTTTTTATCTATATTTTTTTTTGTTCTCTTATATCGAATATTGTAACGTTTATCGATCTTTGCTTGAACATTATGCGATCTTTCATCAATTCATCATTTCAACTAACGTTGTATGAACATTCATAGCCTAATATAAAGTTTTTATATATGAATGTATGTGATTTAAAAATTGTAAATAAAATAAACTGACCACGTTTAAAGAACTTGTTTTATAGCATCAGATCCGATAAACAAAACAATTGTTCAACAGGTAAAATAAAATTTGTTAGTGCAACTCGCCTGTTCGTCACACACAACTTACGTGTTCATTAAAGATCATTTGTTCAGTGATTGGAAAGCAACAAAACAAAAAATTATTAACAAGAAAAATAATCAATCACTTGACATTTTGATTGTCAATGAAATTTCAAATATAACATGACATGATCTCTAAAACGTTAAAAACAGTCATAAGGCAATTCTTGTCGAATAAATTAAGTAACTAAAATTGAAGTAAAGTGCTTTATAACATGATTATTCGTAAAAACTTCAATTTTTTGTAAATTCAAAAAATTAGTTTTCAAAGCTTTTCATCGAATGTATGATCGTGTCTGAAAGCTATGGGAAGCTTGAAGCAGCCAAGATCTTTGTCGAAAACCTGCAAAGTTAGAAGTTTTGTAGTCATGAACTGAACATCCTGGCACTTTATTTCATATTTAATTTTTTTACACATGTTTTTTTAATCATAAACAATTTTGCTTATGTGACTGAATTGATTTGTAACAAATTTTTACATTTTGATTACATCCATTACATTTCAGTAAAAGTTTTGAAGTTTTCAAAGTGGCTTAACATCTACTGACCTTCACTTTCTCCAGACGAAACTCAACTTTAACACATCCAGTAAACTCGTGCGAGGCAATGTCAAGGTCGTAGAATTCGATGCAAAGGGACAAAAACCTTTCAACGTAAGGCAGACCGAGACATAACGGTGGAGGGTTTTTAGCTGTTAAGATTATTAAGAATTGAATATATAATAGTCGGTACGTACATAATAAATTATTTTTAAATATATATCTTATTTGTCTTGATACATTAAAATGTATTCTAATTCCGTTATTGTAATCAAAAATTAATCAATCAATTGTAGTAGATTATGCCTATTTGACTGGAATTTACATAAGTACAATAGTTGTGGCGATTTCGTTGATGTGGAGCATAATTAATAAAGCAGCTTACATGTTCATAACAAATTATTCGTTCAACAACACGATAAAAATTATTTGCTAAAAATAATCAATTATTTGACATTTAGATATTAAATAAAATTCCAAATGCAACACGGTTTCTAAAATGAATAAAAACAGTAATAAGGCAATTCTTTTGAAGTAAGTCAAGTAACGACAGCGCGATTCAGGCATTAAGCACCTGCAATGACTCCATCATTTCGGCAATGTTAACAAGTCCAACAGTTTTAACATTATCGACCGAAAACTTTCTTACTTTTCGTTTGTCTCACTCATTTCATTGCTTCTAATATTATTTATTACAAAATGCGATTCAAAGTTATTTTTCTTCAGTTAGCGGCAGCACTGTTGAACGAGCAATACATAACTTAATGGATACACATACATACACGCAGTTCATGCCGAGAAAGTACAATGAAACTTCATCTGTCGATTTTTAGACTCACAATATATTAATGCAGATAGGTTGCTTAACAGCATCTTCGACATCAGTAGTCTTATTTTTAATTTTTACGTCGTCGGCAAATTTTAAAACAGATTTGTAATAGATTATCAGTGTTTTAAGTAACACATTGTAAAACGTAATAACATCATAAGATCTGTGTGCAGTTAAGAGCGTGACAGATGAACTCCGTAATCAAATATTATCATATCAATTTTCAATTTATCAATTTCAATTTTTAATTTATCGAATTCAATTTTCAAACTGCCCCACAAAAAACTGAAACAAATCAGTGACAATGTGGATAATAAATTATATTCAAATGCAATATGCACCCCAAAGCAATTTCCATGGTTACTACATTTTTATTAATTAAACTACAGCAATCATGCTCTAGGACATTGTTAAGATACCATTTTTCTATCATTTCTTGTCTTAAATGATAAAATAAACATTTGCGCTGATTTTTACCGAAATATTTTTATTGGGGGTGCATTTTGCACCCCTAATAAACCATACTTGGTTTATTGGGGGTGCAAAAAAAATTATTATTGCTAATAAATTTTGTTAATTATGATGAAATAATATTTTACTAACATTTAGCTATCAGTTGAACCTTTTTTTGAATGTCAGTCATTTCGTTTTATTTGCATTTCATCTAACACTACGTGACATGGCTAGTTATTCAACAGCTGAAGCTCTTAGACTGATTATGCAGGAAGATACAGAAAGTGAAGAAGACAATGTTACAGAAAATGATGCCAGTAGTGAAGATGGAGATTATTTGCTAGGATTAGGTGCTGATTTTGATACTGAAGATCATGAGTAAGATGAATCGGAAGATGCCATTACATCTGATGAAGAGTCGGTAAATCAACTTTCTACAACAGTGACTAAAAGAGGTAAAGGTATAGCAAGTGGAGAAAGAGGAGGTAGAAGCAGATCATGTCGTGGAAGGGACACACGCGGTACATCCGATTCAGCACAACAAACAGCTGTAGATCAGTCCGTTGTTAGTATTAATACAATTGTGGATCGAAAAGGCAGACAAAACCACCTGCAATCCACCGACGGCAAGTTCAGGACATAATTCGGCAACAAACGGGCGTCACTTTTGATGGACGTAAAAATTTAATAAAAGAAGTGTTTCAATTGTATTTATCTCGAGAGATTCAGTCTGTAGTTATTAGAAAAACAAACAGAGAAGCAGAACGATGTTATGCCAAATGGAACTCTACTTATCCAGATAAACAAAAGCGCTGGAAAGAGTTTGACTGGACCGTTTTGTTTTTTAACATGCTTGACTTAGCTGCTATTGCTAGTTTTGTGATCTAGATGTGCAACAACACTGATTGGAATAAATCTTCTAAGGCTATACGTCGTCGCCAATTTATCATAAGTCTCGGGGAGTCTCTTGTTGAGCCACTAATTAGGAAACATTTGGACAATTCCGTTCGGCTCAGAAAGCCAATCATGGATGCAATCCCACTTCTAGAGTTGGACCTTGGAAAAAGAAGAATCAAGAGACCAACTAAAGAAAAGAGGACACAAGGACGTTGTCCTCTGTGCCCGCGCGAGTGTGACAGGAAAACTCGTATGTTCTGCAATGGATGTTTCAGGCACGCTTGTCCGGCACATTCTATGAACATTTCAAAAATACTTTGTGAAATTTGTTCATAACAATCTTGTAAATTATTTATAACTTAAATTTGAAAAAAGAACATCATTTGCATTTGATTTATAACAATTTAAAATGACAATATAGTTAAAATTTTACTTATATGAAGTTTTTGGGAGTCTCTCATTACTAACATCTTTTTTAGTTGATCGTTTGAGAAAATATAATATGCATATTCTAGTTTTAAAACGTATTTTATCTTTATTAAAAAAAATTTGAGTTTGTTACAATTGTTTTACATACGAATATTGACTGGGGTGCAAATTGCACTCCAAGGTCCGGGAACGTAACCTTTTAGCAAGGACCCATTGAGGGTTAAACAGTGCATGTATGTTTTCCAACCAAAATCATCCAACCGACATACACATGTTAACGAAAACACGACATCATAAAACAAATCTTACCAACCTGAAATTTCTCTGGAGAAAACGACTCTTCCATTAACAATGACATCCACTTCTATTCCATACACATCGGGCAGGTATGCAACAGAAATACATACTAATAGGTGATGATTTATTTTCATGTCGTTATTTTAAATAGACTATTATTAACATAATTCAATATCATTCTTAAGTTTAATTAATTGTGAATTGCTCAACACATTTTGAAAAAAATTATTCTATAAAGACGATATGATACATCTTTAAAACACAAATCTAACAAAGTTTTTAAATAAACCAGAAAAACTGTGAAAAGTAAATACAAAATGAAATGACCATCTGCCTTATAGTGTACACAACACTGGCATTTGTTGTTAGCACATGAGCAGACAGAGCGTTGCGGAATGTTTGAATGAATGGCCTCGAACAACTTCTCAAACATCTCGATTGTTCTCTGCTTGGCTTTATTGTATCCTGTATAGGCTTTATTGTATCCTGTATAATTTAAACTTTTGTATAAAAACACACACACAGACACACAAAAATTATTATTTGTTCATTAACTTTCATTTAGAACTTCATTGGTGTGAAAAATGTTTTTCCAAAGAAAAAAATGTCAAATTCATGAAATGGAAGAAAACTCATATAAAACAAAAATTGTAACCTCCAGTTAGGTCATCTTTTAGATTTTTCTTGAAACTATCAGTGTAGTTGTTACTGGTCCTGCCGTCATCAAAAGCATGATTGTAGGCAAACGTGTCGTCAAATTGTTCAAAAGCTGCAGCTTGTTTTATTAGAAAATGATTCAAAGATAAAAAATATTGAAGATTCGTTAATAAATATTATTATAACAATCAGTTTATTTCTATTATTCCAATTAAATTATTATAGGTTCCATAAAACAATGAAATTAATAAAAAAAAGTTTTATTATAGAAAAAAGATTAGTCTTAAAGTTCTAATTAAATTAACTGTAGGTAAAAGTATGAATGAAATCATATTAAATTTTGAAGAAACATAAAAAAATTTGCAACCATTACTCTATTATTTACTAACCACTAGCAACAAAGAACAGCATTGATGAACAAAACACCAGCAACAGCATGCAAATGTTAGTTTTAATATTATAGTTCATTGTTGGTTAAGTTTTAATTTGAAATTATAAAGAAGAGAAATACTACAGGTGATATTTACAATTTACTGAAATGTATGAATATCTTTAGACAAGTTTCTGTTTAATTAAAGATTATTTTGTATCTGTTGTTTATGTGTCACATGAGATGAATCAAGGAACATAACCAATCATCTGCCTGTTGATCATTTGCAATGAATGAATAAATAATAGAAAAAATTATATAAAATAAATACTACAAATACTAATATGCTTTTTATATACTACAACAATACTGAAACACATTAGTGTAAATGTAAAGTAAACTCTAGCTAGATTAACAATCCTTCGCATTTTTTTATGCTTCCTCTCTTAGTTTCCATTTAAAACCAAAAATAGAAGGCAATGTAATTTTAAATATTTTAGTTAAAGTTAACAAAGAGGTTAAGAAGATAAGAAAGAAAAAACGAAAGAGTATAAGAAACTAAAAGTAATTAATCCTGTAGAAATAAACTAATCAATAATAAATGTAAGTAGATAAATACATTTATCTTATGTTTTATAATATACACTACTACAATTATTATACAAACAGATACACAAATATACAAACACATGCATGTCATACATACATATATTAATACATACATACATAACATACATACAGCATACATAAACTCCCTGTAAATATGAGATATCATTTAAACGACATTTTAATTTCGGAGCGCAGATTGCGACGTGAAGAACGTCCTGCATCGCAAGAAAACATCTGCTTTGAGAGTGGGGAATCCCGAGCTTTTTTCAAACTGGTCGGCGCGTTCATTAGAATTCAGTGACGACAGTAATAAAATGTTAGCCATATATAAACGTATATATAGAATAAAAATATAAATAATAAATATAAATAGATATATAAATATATTATATATTTATATGTTGAATATATATTATATATATATGTTTGACTATATACATTTTACATGTGTTTATCCCTCATATACCTAAAATACATGATGTACGTTTATTCAAATGTAGAAAAGTATTTTATGCTTATTTATAGTTACTGTATTACCATTTAAAAATGAATTACTGAGTTTTATCAGAAAACAATTTTTAACAAATTATTAGCATTTAGTTACATGAAGGACAGCCTTAATGAAACATATTTCGCTAGTTCAATGTTCATACAGAAAAGTATTTTATGCTTATATATAGTTACTGTATTACCATTTAAAAATGAATTACTGAGTTTTATCAGAAAACAATTTTTAACAAATTATTACCATTTAGTTACATGAAGGACAGCCTTAATGAAACATATTTCGCTAGTTCAATGTTCATAGAGCCGGGTTTAAGACGAGGCAACTGTCCAGAGGTTTTCGGGTCACAAATCCTAACGAATAAAACTAACAATCCTCAAAATAAATAAAAGCATTCGTGGGGCTATATAGGAAAAAAACTGCGATATAATTCTGATAGGTAATCGAGCTGCTGATGAATCTCCGGTAGGGACGAAACACGTGTCCATCTTGTCCAAACGAATACTATCCTTTTCTTCTTTTCACTTCTGCTCTTCCTGGTTTGGTGTTCTCTTACATTAGCTCATAACACCAGGATCGCCATCCCTTCCATGGTTTATGCGTTATGTAATTGTCGAATTGAATTATATTGACATATTTTATTAAAACATTTATAAAGCACCAATTAAATCAATATCTCAAAGGCGCATCTCAAAGGCAATATCTCATATTTAATCCACGATCACAAAAATAACAGCAATATATCCACGAAACAAAAATCAACATCACTCATCGAACCTGTTGAATAAGTTTCAATCCCAATAACTACACCTTCAAATAAACTCTTCTCTAAATAAATGCCTTCATACTAACAATCATTCACCAAATAATAGAACCAGTTAAATAAGTAATATTAACTATAACCTCATTCTAAAGAGAATCAAACATCGAGACCAAAGTGATATATACATATTGCATAAAAGTCATCTGCGGATCAGGTATGTAGCTGCACAGCCTGGTAAACATTTAAACTTGATGACCATGGTTATAATATATATATATATATATATATATATATATATATATATTATAACCATGTTGATGACTGATATTAATTTTGAACTTTTCTATTGTCAGCCATTGTTATTATTTGAGCAGAGGAGAAACATGTTCAAACTTTGCAGCACCAAAAACCAATTAACCTCACTGATTCTGTTTTGTCTGCAATATTGTGATTGATTTGCCAGGAAGGCCATAAAAATACTTTTGCAGTAATCTACCCGCGAATGAAAACATATGCGTGTCAAACCCGTCAAACCGTGTCAAACTGAGTTAATAGCGCATTTGTAATTTAAATCCGTTTTTCGTCTTATGATTACTAATCTTTCCATAATAAATTTATCTAATTGGATTGATATGACATAAGAGTTGGCTGCCAAGTAGTCCATTGTTCCTAACGAAGATTCCTCGCTCATTGGTTCGTCTGCCTCTCTTGCAAGATGGAGATTCCTTTGGAAGATCGCGGGGAATTAAATCCAGACAGAACTGATATTATTGAGGTTCTTTATTTTATTAAAATTAATTAATATAATAATTATAATAATGAATGTAATGTAAGAAAGAATCAGGGAGATGTTAAATTTAAAATTAAACTATTTAACTTTAAATTTTAAAGTTAAATATTATGTGAACTGCAAAATTTGAACCTGTTGTTAACATGGAAAAATGATTCATATGGTTTGTTATGCATCAATTGAATTTAATTAATATAGAGTCCAAAATGACATGCAAGTGTTGAAAGTCAGTTTATAAAAGATTTCTAGAAGAAATATTCTTCATGGATTTGCTGTTTTTTAATCAGCTGTCTTTTTTCCTAACCCTAACTAACACAACTAAAAAACTTTTACTCACTGCTACTACATTGTTAAACTTTTTTCACTTTTATTCAAAACAATGAATAAATTTTGAGAAACATTTTATTCCATGGTTATTTTAATTCTGCTTTATTTAATTAACTAATTTTTGTTATATCTTTTGATGATAAACATGTGAAATAATTTTTATAAACTTTTTAAAAATTGTATTTCTTACTTTTTCATTCTTTTTTTTTAATTCAACACTTGGTTAAATGAATTCATATTTCTAAGATGAAAACCATAGTGTGAACTTATGTTAGTCATCATCATTAATAAACATTTCTTATTACTACATTTTATAAGATAATATAAATTTATTTTCTACTTTTCTACAGCTCTCCAACGTAAAAGTTAAGTATGTCAACCTGAAGTTTGAAAAAGTTGGTCTGAAGATGTACGACTACACGTGCGACATCAAGCTGATCGTCGGCAGTGACACGTTCAAAGCCCACAAAGACGTCCTCGCAAAATCAAGTGACTACTTTCTTGCCATGTTCTCCCACAACATGCAGGAGAAGCAGATGGATGTCCTGGAATTGAAGGAAATCAGCTCTCTCGGTTTCTCGGCCATGATTGAATATTTCTACCATGGCTATATAACGATTGATCATATTACAATCAATGGTATCTTGGAGGCTGCAAGATTTTTTCACATTGATTGGCTAATTCATGTCTGTAGACATTACATGATTCATTATTTAAGCATCTTAAATTATGAAAATGTTATCAACTTAGCTGACGTTTTTTGCATGGATGTTGCTTCTATTAAACACGAGATATTGCTTTTTTTTTCAAGCAGTTTTATTCCTCTGTCAATGAAGTCTGATACTTTTAAAATGTCATCAACCATACTTACAGAACTGATGGATGGTACTTACTATATTGAGGCAGATGAAAAAACTATTTTTGATTTTTTACGAAAATGGATTTGCTACGACTTACCACAGAGAGAAGGTTTTAAACTTCGCCTTTTAAAATCAGTGAAATATCACTTATTTGATTTGGATGATCTTGAAAATATTGACGAAAGTATAACATCTATCCCCGAAATTGATTTGGAAATAACTTCAGCAAAAGATTATCTGTTGAATCCAAGTAGTCAATGTCTGAAAGGTTATGAACATTTTGGCGCTAGGGGTTCAAAAGAGTTCTTAGTTTTGTACTCTGGGATTGATAACGACACATGCATCAGTTACAAGCTGAAGAATGTTAATGGCGTACTCACAGAAAATGTTGACACCAGTTTTATAAGCACAGTCTTTGAGTTTTCATCCATCACAAACCTGGGCAATTTTATATTCGTTGCTGGTGGTTATGAAAGAGGGAATTGGTGCAGTAGCAAGGCATTTTACAGCTACAACCCCAACATTCAGCAATGGGTAGAACTGTCAATGATGAATGAAGCAAGAGTTAGTTTCTCTTTGGTTTCAACAAATAATGGAATCTATGCCATCGCTGGTATCGATCACATTGTATCCAACAACATCGATAGGGAAATAATATTACATTCTGTTGAGTTTTACAACCCGATAGATAACGTGTGGTCGTTTTCTGCTCCGTTAACACATGGTTGTTACAACATGTCTGCAGTATCAAATAACGATCATTTGTACATGTCTGGAGGCATAAGTGACGATCCACAGCACTCTGTACCCATCAATAACTTTTACACAAAGTCTATTCATTCAGGAGATTGGAGGGAACTGGCTCCATTGAACGTTGGTAGGCACAGTCACGTGATGATCTTTAAAAATGAAAACCTCTTTGTGCTAGGTGGCTTCATGGAAAGTGAGGCTGCCATGGGATTTAACGATTGCCACCAGACAGAGATGTACGATCTTGAAACAAATCAGTGGACACTACTTGAAGTTGCTGGATGTGCTGGTCATCATATTTATTCGATGAGCTGCTTATACGATGATACAATCTATTTGATTGGGGGACCCAGTAAGGAGGAATTGTTTCTTCTTACGTTTGATGAGGAGAAGAAGGTACTGAATGAGGTGGCCCCTTCCGATTCGTTCGTCCACAAAATGGTCGTCATGTATACTCCGATGCCGAACAGAGTAATTGATGAAATTTCCTTGATGTGACTTTTTCATTACAAATTATAAATTTATTTTTCATTTGCCATTTTCAAAAATCATTTATTGTATATAATTTATTTGTAAGAAAAATTGTCAAGAAATCTCAGCCTCTGCTGCTCAACGTCTTATTGAACGAGTTTGTATGTACTCTTTTAATTGCAACCTAGCTTATTCGAAAAACATTTCGTAAAACTTTTCAAACATACAATACGCGTTTACACACATTCCACACTTCCTTTAATGTTTCCTCATTTACTAAATTTTCATTACGTTAGATTATTAATAATTACTATAATAGATTTCCATCCCAATGCAACGAAAAATACATAGGCCGTTATTATTTCAACCAATCTGTGAAATTTTCCGGCTTCTAAAATTTTTGCTTCGTTTTTGCTTAAAAATATTTTTGCTTGAGAGCTTTTGTGGAAAAGTCAACTCAAATGATTTTACAAACCAGTATTCAATTAATGAATTGTTATTTATCATTGCAATGATTTTTGTTTTCAGATAACGTATTGTTTTTATATGTTTGTTATATTTTTAACGTAGACTCATTTTTTTTAATTTTTTGTTATATTAGTTATAGTGCAAACATAGTTACAAGTTACCGCTACCATCTGTAGTGAACATGTTACATTACCACAGTTAATGTATTTTTAATATTTTTATAGTTTTCGTATTTCTCTTATAGTTAGCCCTAAGTTTTGGCTTAGTTTTTTTCGTTTGTCATTTTTATGCTCTGGCTATAATATCGATTAATGCTTTTTTTATTGAACATCTTTATCACAACGATAAATGTTTGTTATATATTATTCTATTTCCTATATGTGTTTATGTTGTTTTCTGCGTGACAAAATGGTAAACCAGTGGCACTCACAGTCATATGTCTACATTAAATTTAATATATCTCTAAAAATATTAAAGCTAGCTTGGTGTTTGTCACTGGCATCATTCGGTTCAAAGTAATAGAAATATCGTTTAATATTAATCAAGATGTGTTACACTGATGAATCTGGTTCAACCTTCTTCTAAAGCTTGAGTTGTGTGATATTTTTCTGTGTCTTATCATTTCCAGTGGTTTTGTCTAAAAGTAAGAAGCACCGGTGATATATCTGCTTTATTTTCCTCGTCAACGTTTTTAGACACTTGATTTTGAATAGATTTCTACTCCGGCAACGATAACCTCGAGTTTCCTTATTTTTGAGGTTGCATCTCTTAATTCTGGTATATCCAGTACCATGTGTTATATATATATAATTAGCGTTAAGACTGTCGTAGATACAATTTTTTAGAAATATAACTGCATTTTCGTCAAGTATCGTATTTTTATCAACATTTTTCAATTTATATAATATAGAAAGCAAAGTTTTTGACTACTTTTTTCGGTAATCCTTTCAATGTAGTATGTTATCAACTATTGGTTGTATATTATACGTACTTACATACGTATGCTACTTTATTTGCTTCAAAAATTGTGTTTGCGTTCCTACGTTAAAAGCTCCAAAAATTGACTTTATGCTTTATACCTCCCAGTCTGGAGGCAACCGTTAAATCCCACGGCAGCCTCACTTTCCATGAAGCCGCACAGCACAAAACTATATATGTTTTAATGATTGTAACTACCTTTTGTTAAAAGTGTTCTGTGGTTTTTTCAAGGTTTTTTTGACCCCTGAAACTCTGCTTTTAACAAAATATCTATTTTATTTTTAAAGTGTTATAAAATGCACCGAGTCAGCTAGTTTTTTTTTATAAAATACAAAATAATTATCTTCAAATTAGCGAAGTAACCCGGCAGTTTTAATAGTTTCACAAAAGTTCCGCGCATAAAAAGTTATTTTTGTTTCTATTCAGTGTTTTCAAATACCAATTTCTTTTTCCTTTTTGATAAACCAAAATGAAGGCTAAGGGAGATGTTGGTATTATTTACACGTGTTTTATTTTATTAAAAATCGTTGTTGTTCAATTTAATTTCGTTTGAGATGTCGTTTTTGTCAAGGGGCGATTATCGAATCAGATTGCTTAGTTAAAATTTTTAAATATTTAGTTGAAAGAGTACAAAGTTGTCGGGCGCATGATGCCTACCGACAAGATGAGGACGCCCCCCATCTACCAGATGAGAATATTTGCCCCAGATCGTCCCCAAGCGAAATCCAGGTTCTGGTTCTACGCTTCCTATCTTAGAAAAGTCAAAAGAACACAAGGCGAAATTCTTTTGTGTCAACAAGTAAGTCACAGTAGAGATGTCATGATAAAATGTTTTTCACATTTTCAATGTAAAATTATTTGCAAACCAGAAATTCACTCAAATTGTTGGATGCATGTGAATGTCCTAAGAACCTTAATTTATTTTTTTTTTATGGGAGTCAGGTCTCATTCAAATGACCAAAAAAGTTTTGATTTATTTTCATTTTAAAAACTAAAAGCTACCGATTCTGTTTTTAACAATTTATTTTGATGTGTGAACAACAAAATGTTTAATGATAAATGTGCCATTAAATCCTAAAATTGAAATTTTTTTAGATTTATGAGAAAAGGCCAACTTCAATTAAAAATTTTATTTTGATGTGTGAACTACAAAGTGTTTAATGATAAGTGTGCCCTTGAATCCTAAAATTTTAATTTTTTTAGATTTATGAGAAAAGGCCAACTTCAATTAAAAATTTTGGAGTTTGGTTGCGTTATGATTCTCGAAGTGGAACTCACAACATGTACAGGGAGTACAGAGATTTGACTACAGCTGGTGCAATTACACAGTGTTGTATGTAGTTTTGTTTTTTGTAATTTGTTGAAATTATAAAATTTATTCTCCCTGATTAGGGTAGAGCCTTAACATTCCACACGTGAGTTTTAAATTTGACTCAACACCTAATTGATATTTTTGACCAAGTGCTTAATTTTTTTCAATTTATAATTTTTAAATTAAATCATTTTATGTAAAAATTGTATTTAAAATAAATTTTAAAACATACGCGCACATAAGTTGTTCATTGAATGAAAAAAATAATTAATTGTGAAACAAAATAAAGTGTCACAATTTCAAATTGTGTGATAATGTCAAATATGTTTCTGAGCTTTCTGGAATCGTTCTTTACGATCTGCAATGGTACATAGCCACGTGAGATCGCCAATGTTTGATGATATGCAAGCATTGCACATACCAGTCATCTTTTTAAATTTTTGTTTGGCGCATTGCCACAAATTTTTCACTCCATTTGTGTGCAGTTCGTTTACTGTCTGAAATGTAATGAATTGGTTCACAGTTTGATGGTTTAGTTCGGTTACGGGTGTGATGCTGTTACAAGCAGCCCACTGATCGGACCTGCAAAACACACTCTTGTGTTTTCAATTGCACTGCAGGCACTGTCCTATGATTTTGCCATACTATTTAATATATAACATTTTTTAAACTATTTATTTAATAACAATAATTTCCTTTTACTTTCAACATTCAAACAATTTATCATAAAAATATCAAGCCGTTTTGTTAGAGGCAGAGTAAAATTTAAAGGTCTTCAATATTATTCTATGTAAACAACTAAATGCTAAGGTTTTACTCCTAATGAGATTGAATTAGATTTTATTATAAGTTCATATTTCTATTAGTAATAGATAGAAATTTAAATTAATAATTTAATTTGTTATGTTGACAGATAGAGACATGGGGGCCCGTCACAGAGCTCGTGCCAGTAGCATCCAGATCATTAAGGTTAATCCTATTCCATCAAGCAAAGTCAGATCCAAGAACTTGAACCAGTTCATTGTTAGTTTTTATTCTTGATAACCATCAATCTTATTAATCCCTTCTCTATTGTATATGCCAAAAATCTGTATTTAAGTTTTCTCATGCATAAGTTAATTGACAGATTTTAATTTATACCTCATTGTCATAAAAGTTACCAAATTATTTTATAATATAACTACTATTGTAGTAATTCTCTGTGCTTGAGAATTTCCATTGTTGGTAAAAGATGTTTTAAATTTTGTAAAATATGTGAAAAAAGCTTTTAAGAAAAATTGAATGGTATGTTATTGTATTAACAGGACAGCAGGATCAAGTTCCCTCTGACCCACAGAGTCAACAGGCGACTCCACCATCCTCGCTTCACAACCACGAGACCACACACCACTTTTTAAAGATTCATTTGTTGTTGACATTTGTTGTTGACACTGAGATGCTCTGTTGACAGTAATGCTGTCTAATATGATTGCAAAATTTCTCAAATAAATGAATGATTAATTATTTGCAGGTGTTTTTTTAATGTAAAGTGGTATCAAAATTTAACTAACTTGAGACTAGTGCTGTCAGATTATGAAGTTTATATTGGGTGCTGGTTGGTTGTTAACAGTCATTTGTTTGTTGATCATGCATTACTTGCTTTGATCCAGACATGTGTGTTGATGATTGTAAATGATTGAATGGTTGTTGGCCATTAATCACATATGGCCATTAAATTTTATTGTGTTTTGTCTGCCTTCTATGTGTAAAGCATATCGTACTGAATTAGTTGAAATTAAAATTTGTTGCCAGCCTGTTTCTAGATAAAATGGCAATGGAGTTGGAAAGTATGCAGTGCTAATTTATGTGTAGAACATTTACAAGTGTTTGCATGCAGGCAGAGTTTATTGAATTCTATGGTGGTGCGACAAGATTCGTTTTCAAAATTTTATGTGGACTTTTAAGAGCAGTTTTAGACAAGTGTTAGCGGTCATCACTACCCTGTTCAGTTATATCTGATATTGTGTAGCGCCTTTTTCTATTTCCGGTTTGTAGTTATGTTTGAATCATAGGGAGGTAATGACCCTCATGTTGCTATTGTTGACAATTTATAAATAGTGTCGGAGATTTTGATCGGAGTCGGAATTTTTTAACTCCACAAAATATTTTTTATTTGTATGTAGCTACTGGTCAAATATTTAAAAAATTTATTATCTATATGTATATATTGAATAATTGATCATGGGAAAAGTGACTAAGACGGCCATGGAATCAAATTTTCAGATTTATATCACATTAAAAGATTTAGTGAACAATAGAATTCAAGAAACAATTTAGCATGTTGTGTGCAACGATGAGAGATTAAAGTTATGAAAAGAAAAGGAAAGTAAACGATGTGTGAGCGAAAAATTAACCCATATTAAACCATGACAGAATTTTATAAAATTGTGTACTTATTTTTTGTTTTTACATTCAAACATCATAAAAAATTTTGAAAAAATTCTAGAGGCAAAACTTTTTTCTAGCCAAAAATATGACCGTCAGTTTAAACTGACGCTAGCCACAGATGGTTGGGTCTTTTTTTATGTTGAAAAATGTATAAAAATGAAAAAATGACCACCATTTGCTTAATTTTTATTAGTAAACCATTTATTTGATCAAGTAAATTTATTATTTCTAAAATCAAATTCAAAAAAATTTTGTTCGATAAAACGTTCATAAGAAATATTAATCATGTCAGCAAAATTATTACGGTTAAGTATGGCTCAAATGAAATGACTTGAAACAGCCTGGATGTAACCCAACATTACATTTTTCGCATGCAAATATGGATGTCCCTTTGCATCCAGCAGCAGCACATCGTTGCTGAGAACTTTGGATAATCCAGTGTGCAAATCCGTCTGTTCGTATATCAGACAAGACGTGGCCAAGTGAGAGTCATGGAGCAGGACATAATAATTTTTGAGTTTTTCTTTGAGACATGCTTCGCATATACACTTGTACAATTTCACGTTGTAATGATAGCAAATCATGAACAGAAGTTCCAGTATCTATTTTTTGCAGACGATACAACTGAAAGGCATTTTGAACTGCCAAATCTAAACAGAACCTAAAGATTGGCCAGTACCACTTTTTTGATCAATGCTGTATCATATAGCAAGCTAAATTTTGGTCAAAACGATCTACTCCCCCCATTCCATGATTGTATATCTGAATAACTTTGGGCTGGTCAACTTCAATTCTTTTTTTCTGTTGACTTGAAAATCGCTTTGCTTTCTGTAGCGGATCAACTCCAGCATAAGTTGAAGCAGTAGTAACAATTTTATTGGCATGCCATGGATATATTGTTTAGACCCATGACGGCCAAAATAAGGGACCATACTTTCGTCTATGCTAAGTACTTGCTCTAATTGAAAATTTCTCTGACATGAAGCATTTATTTGGTCTAGTAATGGACGCACTTTTCCAAATTTGTCTCCTGGGTTTAATCGCTATTGTTAGCAAAGTGAATATTGCTCATTATGGCACTGAATCTATTTTGTGACATGGCACTAGACACCATTTAATTGTGAATATCATGTGCTGTTTCCCAATACATTGAACGCCAGGGAAGTGAAACATACCCACTGAGCAGCAGGATCGAAAAAAATAGTATCACCATTTACATTTGTAGGTGGAACAATTGTGACATCTATGTCAAGCAAATTTTCATCGTTGTCGTCTTCTAGCATCTGAATCACTTCATGAACGTTATAACTTTAAAAAAAATTATTATTACCACCACTTTAGCAAAACAAAAAATGTTGAATTTTACTAAATTTTAAAAATAGAAACAATATTGACCCATAAAAACTCAACTTAATTAGTTACTTATGATAAAATAAATGACCTACGCGTCTGTGCCTAGCGTCAGTTTAAACTGACACATCAAAAACAGCTATACCGTTAAGATAGCTTATTTTATTAAAAAATAGCAACAACCATAAGTTTAAGGAAATATTAATGAAGACTTTTCTAATATATTATGTATTTAAAAAAAATAGTTTGACTCACGTTTTCTTTCTTGTAAAATCTATCTCGAAAATTTTAAAAATGTCCGACAATTAACCCATAAACAAAGATTATAAAATGATTTAAAAAATTAATATTGGTTTTTAAACACCGGCCACATCTGTAGAATAAAATTAAAACAAAATAAAAACTATTTCAATTTTATTGATTCCAAAATCGTTATCTTTATGCGTGTCAGTTTAAACTGACGCTAACCAAATATGGGTTAATAGTTTTCTGTTAGACCAAGGACCATTCAAGTTTGTTATCAATGATTGCAAAGAAAAGATGACCATCCTAATATGAAATCGATCTACCTCACTAAGTTGTTGTCATCAAATGATTGGAATTGATGTCCGCCTGTTAATTAAAATATAAATATGAAATTGGGTTAACTAAAATTTATTCTTGATTCTTCAGTATTCATTTCCTTATATTTACTCTGTTCGTATCAAAGTTTAACTTATTTACATTTTAGCGACTACATAACAGGTATTGAACTACTACGGGCTATCGTTAAAACACTTTTTCGCGTTCAGCCGCTCTGCTTTTGAAACATCTCAAATGAAAAAAGAATGTTCTATAAAAACATAACAAACAGCATAAATCACCATAAGCGAAAACTCTTGATTAAAAGAATTATTTTCAAAAGAGACTTGATAAAATTTACAAAAATGTTTCCAGGAATTATTATTAGTTTGCGGCGTTTTGCTTTCTCTCTGTGTTCGTTTTTAGTACTCTCATTTGAAATAGTGGGCCGTTGCCGACTGCTTGGTTTGTGTATGGATCTATTTAAATTAATGAATTGTGTGAAAACTTCTGAAAGTTCTCGGAAATTTGTTTTTGTATTGAAAGTTTCATTTTTCTATGATGTTTCAGCTTGCTGTGTTTTTATATTAGGTATGCAAGATACAATTTTTTAAATAAAATGAAAACGAAAATCTAACAAATCATAAAAAAATGAACGAAAAAAGCTTTGAATAATTTTTCATTTTTGATAATTATGTTTTAAATATAGATTGCACAGAGGCGGCCCTAGTGGGGTGCGGGACCCAGAGCGAGTTACGGGGTGCGGGGCCTAGTAGTACAAGTTGGGAGTGCGATGCGAGCCATAACAAACGAACGAGGAACGCAATAATTTACATAAAATTACTGGGGTATAACTAATTAAAAATAAATTATTACATTTTATCAAAACAGGTTTATTTCTGGACAAATTGGTAATATATAAAGGAAGAAAAAAATTATTTAAAAGATTTGACTTGTTCAACTAAATTATATAATATATGAAATTTAACTACAATAATGTTCATGAGATAATCACAGCTTAAAATCCACTTTCCTTGCCTCTTTGTTGGCAAATTCTTGAATCAATTCTTTGTAGTCTAATGTAGAAGCAATTTTTTCTTCTATGGATAACATAGCTAGACCACACAATCTTTCCTGATGCATTGTAGATCGGAGATAATTTTTTATCAATTTGAGTTTTCTTCGCTCAGCTGTAGTTACAGTGACTGGTACTGTTAAGAGAATTTTGTAAGCTATAGCAGCATTTGGGAAAGAATCTACTAGATGTGCAAAAGATTCCAGACAACCTAAACCACTATTTGTTTCTTTAGGAATCAATTCTCTTAACATTAATTTGTCAAATAAATATAAGCCATCCAGATCTCTCGAATCATCAACGTTTGTCAAAACCAATTCCAGACACATATATTTCAGATTTTCTACAGTCATTTCACACGAAGAAGTTGAATGTTAAAAAAAATCCCAAGTTGCTGGAATATTCTTTCAACTGATGGAAACGATTTTTTAGAGATTTCAAAGCTTGCTTATTATCAAATCGATAATTTTCACTCATTTATAAAAATTCTATTACTTTTTGATGTTTTTTGGTTTCTGGAGAATTTTGAGTTCCATTTATAATTTGATAATAACGTTGATGGACATCCCCTCAAAATGTATAAAATAAAATACTTAAACTTCGATTATATATAATATATAATATTGCTTTTGAAGGTTTTTATCGAATTTAAAAATACAAATTCATCAAAAAATTTGGATATTCAAAAAATAATTTTCAAAGCGCGGGGCCTCCCAAAGCGCGGGGCCTGGAGCGGCCGCCCTAAATCGCCCCCCTAAAGCCGCCTCTGGACTGCAGTAGCAGCTGTGGAAGCTTCATCGACTGCATCTTATTAAAGGATGAGTTGATAAGTTTTTTGTGGCTGGCTTCCTGTTTTTTTTTTACTCTGACCTGAATGCTCACGTTAAATGTTCTTGTATCTGGCTATGCAAATTTAGAAATAAATAATTCCTTTGATGCGAAACCAGTAAACAACGGTGGATAACAATTAAATATATATATAATTCATTTTTAGTTTTTCTCAAATAAGTTAAAAAGATCAAAATAAATCAAATGTGATTCAAAGAGTTCTTCGAACGTTCGAGTATGAGATGTTTCTGTGTTAATTTTCTCATATATTATATTCAACTGAGTAGATGTTACGACGCTCTGGTTCAAAAATACTTACATTTAATTAGCATCTCTAAATAATGTTTGTTCTAAATTGTTTTTAATGATTAATTTATAATTTTTTTTAATAAAAAAAACTTAAGACCTCTCATGCTGCGAATAAATTTTTGCAAACTTCACTGAATATATAAATATTTTTTATTATTGCTTTTTGATTCCATGAAAATTAATTAATTTTTTTCAGTTTTTCTTCATTTTATTTCGTTATTAAATTCATTTTCGAGACAATGAACCAATTTTTAACTCGACTTTCAACAATTTTTTTTAGTTGTTTATTATATTTCTTTATGTTTGTGTTTATGTTTATATTATAAAAACACTCGAACAAAGATAAATCTTTCAGTGACTTGCATCAAAAAAATTGAAAAAATTATTTTAAGCGATTGCTGCAAAAGTTGATTAATAGCTTTCATGAACAAAACTATGTAGCAGAATCACCATCTTCTCGATTAGAGAAACGATTTTTTTCTCTCTGCCTTACTTGGGCTTATCGGGATGGATAATTAAATGG